CCGCCTTCTCCTGCCCAGCTCCCGGCTTTGGGTGAGCCCCAGTGAATTTTCATGTGCTTTTCTTGAACCTCATCCTGGATCACACCAGCTTTTGGGGAGTTTGGCCTCACTTCCTGTTCTGCTAAGAAGTCTGGGGCCAAGAGTTTGCTACCTCATCCCTCCCCATCATGGTCTCTGGTGGTCTCCTCCCGTGTCCACCCCCGCACCAAGAGGATGGCACGTAACAGGTGTGAATAGCCGCTTACCTTCCTCATCTGGCCGATGGAGATAGTGTACCTTTTTCATAGGCTGTTGTCAGAAACAAACAAGTATACAGTAAGTGTTCAATTATGCTAATAACAGCAATTTTCATCTCCACTTGAATGTCCCTTAGTCATCTCTATCCCATTTTATCTAAAACCTCCCTCCGCCTGCATATTTGACTCCCCCACCCCCCCGCCCGGTACTATTTTTCAACCACTCAGTCCATGCAGCCTCTACTTATTTGTCCAAACTTTGCTTCTTCGGGAAGCACGCTTCGCATACACCCTTCCCTCTGGAACTGGGATTTAAGCCTCCATCTGCACCCCCACCCCAAGTCTGATTCATGTCCCAGTAATTTTGCCTCTGGGTTTAGCGGTGGCGTCCCTGAAGTGACAGGCGCACGCGTGAGAAAGTGTTTTCCCTGAAGTGTGTTGTGAGCTGAATGCTGCCTGTTTGCTCTGACGAAAGCTGAACAGATAGGTGTTGAGTTTTAGGCAGGGGGGGGGGGGGACGACACTCCGGATGTGCACACTAAAAGGCCATGACACAGCCTACATAGTGAGTTCCATAGTAGAGCTACTATGCAGACAGACTGTGTCTCAAAAGCATACAAACAAAACAAATACAGCACTGTGAACGTGAAGAGTGTTTCCCGGGCAGCCACAGAGCCGGCGGCGATCTTTTTCAGTACTTAGAAAGAGTGTGCAATTTTTTAAAAAATGGAAGGTGATTTTATATTTATTTATCTGATTTTTTTTCAAGACAGGGTTTCTCTGTGTGGCTTTGTAGACCAGGCTGGCCTCGAACTGACAGAGATCCGCCTGCCTCTGCTTCCTGAGTGCTGGGATTAAAGGCTTGCACCACCACCGCCTGGCAAGTTATTGTTCAATGATTCTCGAGAAGCAGATCCACGTAAACAAGCGATAGCTTCAGCCACTGAGTGAAGATGCATTTACATAGCAGAGCTGCTCTGGTCTGTTTTATGTTGCTGTAAATGAAATGCTACCGGCTTATGCTGACTTATGCTCAAAAAGGGCTTAGTTTGCATTGTGATTCCGCTCTCCCTGGCAGGACGTGGGTTGCTGAAGGTCTGCAGGCTCCATAACTTTGCACTTTCACTTCCTGCCAGTGTGTACACATTGGAGTGTGGGCTCTGCTAACACGTGCATAAGCGTGTTCAAGCAGGAGGTGAAGCAGTTAATGATCACGGAAACAAATTGCCAAAGGACATGGACAACTTGGTAGCATCATGTACTAACTAAACACAGAGAAGGTAATGATGGAGATCATTAGGTATATCAGAATTAATATTTCATTTAGAAAGTACCTTAGGCTGGAGAGACACTCAGCAAATAAGTCACTTGGTCATAGCACGAAGACTGGACTTCAGGTACCCAGAACCACACAAAAGGCCAGGTGGGTGTGTCAGCTCTCCTATAATCCCAGCATTTGGGAAGCTCAGTGACAGGGGGACCCTGGGACAAGCTGGCTAGGTTGACTAGTCAAATCTGCGAGTCTTGGGCTCAGTGAGAGAGAGATTCTGCCTCAGTAAATGTGGTGGAGAGCAACTAAGATGCCTAACTGATGTCAATCTTTGGCCTCCACATGCAGGCATACATATACAAATGTACATCTGAACACGCACATGCACACATGAGGATACACACATGCACACATATACAAATGTACATCTGAACACACACATGCACACGTGAGGATGCACACATGCACACACAAACACACATGCAAATGCACACATCTGAACACGAAGATACAAACATGAGAATGCACACATGCACACACACATGCAAATGTACCCATGAGAATGCACACATACAAACAAGCCACACATGTACATACTACAGACACACCCATAACCAAATATAAAAAGAAAAAAACTCATCTGGGGGTGTATCTCAGTGGCAAAGCAAGAGTTTAACATATGAGACCCAGATTCAACCTCTCATACTGTCTGCCCAAAATGGTATTTTTAATAAAATTTAAAGTTTAAAATATCTGAAGCAAGAGTTATAAAATATTATCTGATAAATGTGTGTGGGCACATTTTCCATCTCCTGTGCCTTTAGTCTGCATCTGAAGTATCTCATAACTGTGACATCTTTTACACATAGCTAATTAAATTTAGTTTTAAATTCTTCCAAGTGGGTTTGTATAGTGAATATTATAAACACGACATTACTTTTAGTATATGTTGTAAAATTAGTATATCCCTTTAAATAAATATTAGAAAAGAAAAAACAAATTACTCAGGATCAATCACCCAAAAACAGCCGTCATTAATGCACTTGGCATGTGTCCTCCCTGTTTCTTGTGTGTGATTTAACGTAGAGCATCTTGTGGGCACACTGAATCCGCTCTTCACCACAGCATTGCCCTTTTATGTTTTTACTTAACTTCTGTGCTGGCTAGTGTTTTGTTTCCTTGACACAAGCTAGTGTCATTTTGGGAAGAGGGATCTGACTGAGAAAATGCCCCCACCAGATTGGCCTATGGGCTTTTTTTTTTTAATTGGGAGGCCCATTCTGCTGTGGGAGGCACCACCTCTGGGCTGGTGGGCTTAGGGATGTATTAGAAGCAGGTTGAGCAAGCTGTGACAAGCAAGCCATGGCCTCTGCATCAGCTCTGCCTTGAGTTGCTGCCTAGACTTCCTTTGATGGGGGACCCCGATGTGGGACTCTTTCCTGCCCAAGGTGCTTTTGTGTATGGTGTTTCATCACAGCAATAGAATCCCTAAGACGGCATCCGTGAGCGTCATCTTACTGCCTTTCGCTAAGTTTCATCCACAGCTCACCTACGCAACGGGTTTTGTGTGAGTAGTCATGACATGTGACAGGCCCACAGCCAAGTATCCTCAGACACATCCTTCCAAAAGCATCAAGAACAGGACAGTGCCTTGCTCTCTGCGAGGCCTTTAAGTGGGGTGACAATAAAAAGGTCTGTCACATCTGTGAACATGGAGCCCAAGGCATTCAACCTGGACATCAAGACTGTGCCTGCTTGAAGGGTCAGCTCTGTGAGTGTGTGTGTGTGTGTGTATGTGTGTGTGTGTGTGTGTGTGTGAATGTGTGTGTGTTGCCTGTGAGGGAATGTATCCCTCCCAGTGTCAGGTAAGCCCCAAGTCCACAGCTGAGCCCGTGAACTCTGCTTTGGAGGCCCACAGGAGCACTGGTAGTAACAGTGACATTACAGAGTACCCTTCTAAGCCTCCCAGAGCTGCTGCCCTGCAGGCGGGCACACCCATGTGTGTGGCTGTGTGTGCAGGTGCAGAGGGGGCTCCTGGCTGCTCCAGATAACATCCAGTAGGCGGAGAAGTCATTACCACCACCCCGCATGCTTTCCAGACTCTTCGTTAGACTCCAGAGGATGCTGCTTGGGGCAACTTGTACTCCTTTCCCACAGGGCTCAGAGGCTGTCTGCCTAGAGCCGTCTAACCCACACCCACACCGTCGCTGGTCTAACCCACACCCACACCGTCGCTGGTCTAACCCACACCCACACCGTCGCTGGTCTAACCCACACCATCACTGGTCTAACCCACACCATCGCTGGTCTAACCCACACCCACACTGTCGCTGGTCTAACCCACACCATCGCTGGTCTAACCCACACCCACACTGTCGCTGGTCTAACCCACACCATCGCTGGTCTAACCCACATCCACACCATCGCTGGTCGCTGGAACTCCCTGACTAAAGACCAGCCCTTCCAGGATCCACACAAGCCTGAACCTCTCTTCTTGGGGATCACAACACAAATATGTGCACCCTAGGTCCAAGGGTGGCATTTTGCAGCAATGGACAGAGTCTAGACCTGTGTGCTCAGCATGTACGCAGGATGGACGTTTTCGAGTAGGCTCCAGGGGAAGTCAATTTCTCTGCGTTGTAGCTCAGTTTGTGAGGATGTATTTGTTATGGTAGGTGGGTATTGGTTTATTAGCCTGACCTGTACTGTCTTGTATTTGAAAATTTGCAAATGAAATTGCATTTTCTACCCTTGCCTGGCGGGGGGCTGTCCCAACTCCTTCATCTCTGTGCTCACCAAGGGCCCCTTTTTTTCCCATCCACGGCCAGCCGCTGCTGTGCTGAAGGGGCACAAAAAGACAGCACCAAAGACCCAGAGAAGAACAAAACAATTTAAGGTACACAATGCTAGTGTACCAGATCCCTCCCCCTACCCATGTGTACGTGGACAGCAAGAAATGCAAGGCCGGCCAAAACAGAGTACATCCACCTGCTGTGAGGATGAATCAGCCTGGCGGTGGGATCCAGCAGAGCCAGGAACGGAAGCCAGCTTGTAAACCACAATCTGGGCTCCGTCCCCCTTGCCCCACCCCCAACCTCCCCACCACCACCCCAGTACTCCATTACTACACAGAGCTGCCGCCCTCTGTTGGTTGCTTTGAGCAGTGCAAGAAGTTGTGATTTTTCATTCTTAATTGTTTTTTGGCTGCTAGATTTTTTTTCTCTGTGCCTTAGTCTCCAGCAGTGTCCCCTGTTTGTTACAGAGAAGACAGCTTCATCGGGCCTTTCACCCCTTTGAAAAATAATGTAATTAGGATAATTAACACACCCATCGTGATGGCACTTTACCATTCCATGGGGGTATTTGACTTTCTCTCCCAGCTGTCCACCCAGGAAGCTTGTTCTCAGCGCACCCTGAGCACCGTGTCTCACCCTGATAGTGACATGAGTGCGGGCAGAGCCATGACAAGACTGTCTTTCCTCTCGTTCCTTCAGGCGGCACTCGTTGGAGGCACCACCATGATCATTGGCCATGTCCTTCCTGACAAGGAGACCTCCCTCGTGGAAGCCTATGAGAAGTGCAGGGGTCTGGCTGACCCCAAAGTCTGCTGCGACTATGCCCTCCATGTGGGGATCACCTGGTGGGCACCCAAGGTAACAGTGCTGATGGAAACCCCAAAGAAGGCACCAGTGGTCAGGAGCACAGAAGGGCGTGTGGCTGAGCCGGCTGGCGCCTGGTGCTTTTCTGTGTGTACAAACATCTCCCACCACCACTCTGGCTTCCCTGTGTGCCAAGCAAAATATTTAGGAGTCTGTAAGGATGTGTTGGGGAGGAGGACCGTCCTGCCTAACCTAAAGAAGCCATTTTCCAGCATTCACGGTGAGATCAGGTTGCAGCAGAGTCCAAGGCCGTGGGCCAACCTCAGGAGCACTGGCTCCCTGCACTGACTGACGGCCGGGGTCAGTACATCCTTGCAGGGTCCTCCCTGCAGGTAGAGCGGGGGAAGGGCCTGTCCAGCTGGTCTCTTCCCGGGACTGAGTGGGATGGTGTGTGTCGACGACTCAGACCCTCCCCCCATTAGTTACCGGGGAGAAAAACCACACTGAGTCGGGAGTCCATTGAAGCAGGATCTCAATTTATTCCAACAGGCAGGAACTTATATAGGGCTGAGGTAGGGGATGGGAATGTTAGGATAGGGTGAGGTAAGTTAAGGGCCGATAGTATTCCACCAAGCAGGCAGGTAGCTAGGCAGGGGGCAATCTTGCATCAGGTGTGACTGAGTCACCCCCCCACGCGGAGGTTACAGGTTAGAGACAGGTCGCCATACTCTAGTCAGGCTCAGGAACTTATACTGGGCCTCACATCTGAGCCTTTCTTAGGCCCAACATATCCTGGTGTGTGTACAAGGTCCCATGAGCATCTAACGGGGGCGGGGGGGTCTACTGAATGTGTGTACAAGGTCCCGTGAGCATCTAACGGGGGAGCGGGGGGACTGCTGAATGTGTGTACAAGGTCCCGTGAGCATCTAACGGGAGGGCTGCTGACTGGCGGGCTCAGGCTCAGAGGGCCGTGTCCCGTGTGTGCTGGAGTTAGTCACAGCCCCTCTCGGCGCTTCCTAGGCACTGACTTCGTGTTTTGCTCTCCAGGTGAAGGCAGAAATGGAGACGCTAGTGCGGGAGAAGGGGGTCAACTCCTTCCAGATGTTCATGACCTACAAGGACTTGTACATGCTTCGAGACAGTGAGCTGTACCAAGTGTTTCATGCCTGCAGGGACATTGGGGCGATCCCCCGGGTCCACGCTGAAAACGGGGAGCTCGTGGCTGAGGCAAGTCATCGACAGAGGTTGTCGGGTGGGGTGGGCCCAGCAGACACAGTGTTCAGGGACCCCCTGGTCACTTGTCCCTGCCCTTCAAGGTTCACAGAGGTCAGGTAATTAGATGATGTGAGATGTGAACCTCTGGGGTGCCAAACCGTGGTCTGAAGTCCAAACTTTTAAAGTATGTATGTGTATATGTAAAGATACGTGTGCTAAATGTATATATTAAAATCTCTCTTTATATTCCAAGAGGATTCTTAAGTCTTAGGTAATAATTTAGTGTGAATGTTATGATATTTAAATTCCACTACAGCAAAATAATTTAGAACATCTCTTGGGAATAATTTTTGAGATACAACATGTAAAAATAAACATCAACACTCCTTTTTCCTATACCTCTCCATCAGAACTGTTACATCATGAGAGTCTGTTCTCTGGTACAAAGGGTGGACCCCTTGGTTCTCCTAATTCCTGGGGTAGAGCTGATCTAGGAGTTGCTGATACCAAAGGCATTTGTTGAGATTCCCAGAGAGACAGCTCAAACTTTTAAATCAATTACTGGTGTTTGTCTTTGGTATCTCTGGCTGTTGTTTAGCAACTGGGCTGTATTTTTTAAGAATAAAAGATATTGTCCAGACATTAAAAAGTGAAGAGAGAACCAGAAGTTTACCGCATTCAGTCCCCTGGTTTATTCTTTGGAAAATGTACACTGCATAAGGAAGATGTGTCCCTTGGGTTTGGTAGTTTCTTATGTCTCTCTGATTGTTGTCTTTCTCTTGCTGTTATTCAGGGTGCTAAGGAGGCTCTAGATTTGGGTATCACAGGCCCAGAAGGAATTGAGATCAGCCGTCCAGAGGAGGTAGGAGAAAATTCCTGTGTCTATGGTCAATTTTTTTTATGCAGATTTCCTATGTCATTAGCTTTCTGTCACTGAAAATAAGCCTGTGGGAAAACTTTATCATTATTACTGTTGTTGTTATCGTTATCATCATCATCATCATCATTATTCAGAGAATTCAGTGGATGTTTCCACTTGAATAGAATGTCATGGCAACAGGAACGGGTGGCAAAGGAGAGAGCTCTTCACTTCAGGTCAGCCGGAAGCAGAGAGTGAAACAGGAAGTGGCCAGGGAACCAGCAGGGAAGGACCCATCCCTATGACCTCCTTCCTGTCCTACAGCTCAGCCTTGCCTCGTGGTCCTGGAAATGCTACCACTACCTAGGGACCAAGAGTTCTTTTTTTTTTAAGATTTTATTTATTAAGTATATGGTGTTCTGCCTGCAGGCCAGAAGAGGGCACCACATCTTGTTACAGATGGTTGTAAACCACCATGTGGTTGCTGGGAATTGAACTCAGGACTTCTGGAAGAACAGCCAGTGCTCTTAACCTCTGAGCCATCTCTCCAGCCCCAGGACCAAGAGTTCTTATCATGAGACAGTGGGAAACAGTAATACCCATGCAGTCTTTTAGAAGAAATGTCACAAATACGTTACTTAGCAAGTTTGAAGCCAGCTTGGGCTACACGAGACCTCTCTCAGAAAATGAATAAAGGAAAATAAAATTATGTCATTTGCAGAGCGGAAATATATGTTACATACCCCCCCCATGAGATTCCCATCAGGGAAAAACCTTGACCTTCCTTGGAAGAACAGGATAAACCCAATCATGCCCCATTTAATTCTAACCTCAAGGCTTTGGGGAGGCCATTCCAGGGGTCACTTGATCCAGAATTGTGGGCAGCGACAAAAGAGACAGACAGGGCCTTCGTGTGTTAGAAGGAAAGAAGCTCGCGGCCAGGGCCCTGCATTCTGGAGATGCCAGTGTCACCAAGGAAGACCTTGAGTCAGAAATACAGCACACACCTGTCCCCCTCTCTCACTCTTTCCTTCTAGCCAGGGTGGGAAGGAAAGCCCCTGCGGTCCCTTGCCTGTACCGGTGTGCACTTTCGTAGGGCACTGGCTTGGATATCCAGTGGTCGGCTGCGGAGCGATTTGGCTCCAGTGGAAGCACGGCAGATAATTAATGCCTTCTTGTGCCGGTACCCTATTAGACATGTTCACCACTTGCAGTAGAAAGCACCTTCTCCTTTCTCCAAAGTCTAAAATGCAGAGTAATGGGAGGGTGATGTAGGATCTGTATTCCCAGCTCTAGCGAGGCTGAGGCAGAAAGGGCTCAGGTTCCAGGCGGACCTGGGCTACATAGAGAAAGCCTATCTCAGTCAATCAATCAAATATAATGGGACAGTGGTTAGAGCCCAGGAGACCCTGGGTATGATCCTGCCATCACCCACGAGCCAACTTTACTTGCCTTCTTCCCGCCTTGGTCCTGTCCCTATCGGTCCCTGGTTTAAATGTAAGCCCTGCTTGGGCACCTCAGAACCTGTAGAGAAATTTGAAGCCGAGCTGGGAATGTAGCTCATTTGGTAGCTGTTTGCCTGGCATGCATGAAGTCCTGGATCTCTACACAACACCACATATGACCGAAAGTGTCGAATACACCCACAGTTCTCGCACTTGAGAGGAGAAAGAGAACCAAGAAGTTCCAGGACATCCTCTGCCATGCTGTGAGTGTAAGACCAGCCTAGGTTCCTAGGGACTTGGAGCACTTGATTCACAGGGTGGATCTGTGACCACAAGGTTGACGAAGAGACGGCAGACTTGGGCTTTAGCTGTCTGTGCCTGGTGCCAAGAGGAAAAGCAAGGCACCCACTGCTTAGAAAGAAGCGACCTGGGTCTGAGCCAGGGCAGATTGACCGTCCAGAAAACACTTGAGTGTCCAGAGATGTTTTTAGTTGTCCCAGCAGGAAGGGTGGGTAGAATGATGCTGACATCTGATGGATAAAGTTGGGATACTGCAAACGTCCTGCGGCATGCAAACAATCCCAACCCACACAGTTGAGTAATGCTCCAGTGTGAGTATTGCTAGGGTACGGAAACCCTGCTCTAGGCTAATCTCCATCGTGATGTATGTGACTGCGTTTCTGAGGTAGCCATGGAGTGCATGAGCTAGCAGACAGGGAGATGTGAGGCTGTACATTGTTTATATCCTCTCATCGCCTTCAGACTTTTTAAACAGTTTATCATTACTTTGTGTATGGCAGAAGGGCCCCATGGTATACTTGTGGCAGTCACAGGACAGCTCTGTCAGTTCCCAGCAGCAGTTGTATGTCACCTGGCTTACCAAGCAAGCTCCTTTCTAAACCCTGAGTGGCATCCACCAAGGTGCACCTGGTATCTTAAATCCTGGGGCTCTTTGCATGGAAGTCCCATGGTTGAGGCTTGGTGCTCCTGCCAGAGTCTTGCCTCAATCGGCAGCCTGTCCCCGTGGGTGCTGCCAACCCCTCTGCTGTGTCAGCTGCTCCAGCACTTTCTGTATAGAGTGCTCTCAGGCTGGTGCAGCTGGCTGGAAGGAGATGTGAAGGCTCGTTCCTTATTGCCCCTTGTTTTTAACAGCTGGAGGCAGAAGCCACTCACCGAGTCATCACCATTGCAAACAGGGTAAGTAGCTCCCCCCCCACCTCCACACTGGGACCTTGGCTTGAACTCATTCTTGTCTGGCAGCCAATGCCACAAGCGGCTCTCAGGACCCCAGCTGAATGGCCATGTTAGCCTCAGAGTTCTGCTGCGCCGCTGGCCCCAGCGCTCTGCCCCACCCCTTTGTGCTCCGCCCCACCCCTTTGCGCTCCGTGAAGGACTGAAGTTGCGGAGGCTGAGATTCGTGGCTCAAGTATAAATGGCTTGGGCAGTTATCTTTTAACCCTATGCTGCTGGGGCCTTTGTTTTCCAGCTTCTTTCCCGGGTTTGATTCAGGAAAAACCCTTAACAAGGCACCGATGGAGCTTAATGGGAACCAGCCAGAGTCGGTTCCGAAACTGGAGCCTTGCTCTTATCTAAGGAATACATGCTTTCAACCACCGGTACCCCATGCCCTCCTCTGATCCGCCAACTCTTACTGAAATCAGAGTGATAGCATCACTTACTCTGGACATCTGCTGGGGCTAAACCAAAGCAAGGGAGAGAGTTCTTGGTGCCATGGAAAGGCTACCTTTCCTTCAGGATGTCGGGGGTCGGAGGGGTTTGATTTGCTCTGATAATCTGAACTGTGGGCTCTAGAAGGATGGGTTTCCAGTGGCATGGTTCCTGGATGGCAAAATCAGCGCCATGTGTCAGAATTACACACTCAGATAAATAAGCTCCAGAGAGACCCAGTCAATCAGAAACTGGGATAGTACCCAGCATTCTGTATTAAGTTTGTTCATTTCCCCCAATCCTGTGGTTCTAATGAGGGCTCCTGTTTGAGACCTTCCCCTCTGGAATGGCCTGGGCTGCCCAGAAGGATGTAAACACAGAGTGCGGTCTTAGGAATATAGAGGACAGAGAGGCTGCCTGTCAGCCTACCCTAGGATTGATCAGGTCATGCCAGGCACCTCAAAGCCGGTCTCCTAACTTGATAACCAGTGAAGGCACAGACTGACATCTCAGAAGGTTTCCTGTTAGCTCCTTAAAGGGCTGGACCTTGTTATGTTGCCATGACAACAGTTACCTTACCAGATTCTTCCTGATGGATACCCAGGCCACAACCATCAGCTCCTTGGTTCTTAGCGCAAATGTACCCAAAGAAATTAGGCCGCGGGCTGTGTTTGCACAGTTCTGTAGAATAGCTGATGCATATGACAGTCCAGATGTTTACAAGATCAGTTTTGTCCAGCCTAGACTCTGAGCCTTGTTTTTCTCCTGGATACACTCTGTCTGTTGATAACACCTCCCTCAGACCGCAGGCATCAAAATGTCAGGTATAGGATGTAAAACATGACTGTTTCTGGGTCATCATGTTTATGAACAGGAAAAAAGCGTAAGATCAGAGAAAATCGGAGGTTTAGACTCATCAGCTACAACCCGAGGTCACCTCCGGGGTTGGTGGTCCCCAGCGCTGGCTTCCGCTGCTTCTGCCTTGCTCCACACAGCCCTGCAGCCTGTTTTGCAGGTGCTCAGACCGCCAGCCCTGCATCCCGAGCATGAACTTCCGTTGTGTTGGTGCAGGGCTGCTGGAGGGTGGCTTGGGTGCGTGGCAGCTCTCTGAGGCAGGCACTGCCACTTCCTGATGTCTCTTGCCTTTAGACCCACTGTCCCATCTACCTGGTCAATGTGTCCAGCATCTCAGCTGGTGACGTGATCGCAGCTGCTAAAATGCAAGGTGAGTCCTTGTCCTTTGTGCTGCGGGCTCCGAGCAGGACAGGGCCCATTCGCTCACATCCTGCCGGGCGTGGCCGCTGAGACCAGGGGTAGCCTGCCCTTCTCATTTCTTCACAACTGTCTGCCTCAGTGCGCTGAGCTAGCCTGGGCTCGGTGTATGAGAACCAGCCCTTCTCTTCACGTGTGTATGCACAGGAGCTTTCCAGAAATGTCTATGACCCTGACCAGGTCAAGTAAAATTAAAGTCTTAAATTGATGCATTAATTGATGTCTCTTTGGTCTGTTATGTTGAACTAACAGTTACCTTGGCAACCAAAAAAAAAAAAAAACGGTAGACCAGTTCTGGTGGGCATGTCGGGTGTGGGGGCAGGGTGGAAGTCGCTGGTGAAGTGACAGCATGTGGGTCCAGCTTCCCTTTCTCACCACCTTGGACTCTGTTTCTGACCCTCCAGGGGGATTTGTGTGACTCCCAGTGCAACCCCTCCTCTCTCCCCCATAGTACTGAACCCTGTAGCTTGGAGTGCTGGTGAGGGATACTGGTACCAGGAGAAAGAGTCGGGGTAGAATTCTGTGGGTGTAAGCCACAAGCGTGGGTGCCACAGCCTTCATAACATTGTGGCATCTGGGCCTCCAGTCTGCCTCTCCTTCAGCAGAGGTCCCAACTGGACTGTAGGCCCTTCTTGCTGGATGAACCCCTCTCCTGACTTTCCAGCTTCTAATCTGCTCTGAATTCTGCCCCCAGCAGCTCCCCCTGCCTGCCCAGAGAACAGCCTGGACTGCCCACTAGGCCTGGCAATGCATGCATGCCCGACTATCACCCTGGCTTACTCCCCACAGCCAGGCCACACTAGACTTCTCAGAATTCTCTTCTGTGCTCCCTGGCCTCAGGATCCATGCCTGTCTCTGCCCAGGGTCAACAGAGTAAGAAAGCCCCTGGGCTTTTACATGCCTCAGCAAGCTGGAGCAAGCCTCCTCCTGCTTGCTTTCAGCTCCTTTACTGTGTAGTGAGCTGTGCGGCCCAACCACCTCGTAGACCAGGGCCTTCCTGGTTATGCTTTCGACTCTTCTTCCAGGGAAAGTGGTGCTGGCTGAGACCACCAACGCACACGCCACACTCACGGGCTTGCACTACTACCATCAGGACTGGTCCCATGCCGCCGCCTACGTCACAGTGCCGCCTCTGAGACTGGACACCAACACTTCCACCTACCTCATGAGCCTGCTGGCCAAGTAAGGTGTTGGAGTCAGACAGCACTCCACGTGGTGGGGGGCAGGGAGCGCTATAGGTCTTTTTTTTTTTTTTTAGTTTTACAAGACAGGGTTTCCCTGTGGCTTTGGAGACTGTCCTGGAACTCACTACGGAGACCAGGCTGGCCTCGAACTCACATAGATCCACCTGCCTCTGCCTCCCGGGAGCTGGGATTAAAGGCGTGCGCCACCAACGCCCGGCGCGCTATAGGTCTTTAAGGTGACGTCCTCCAGCTCTAGAAACGAAACCTAACCTGGGTTTGGTTCTGTTGGGCGAGCCAAATCACAGGGTGATTTGCTTGAACACATTTGTCCAGCGCCCAACTGTCCCTTGCTGTCTGTTGAGCATCTCTGACAACTTGATTTCGAGTGAGAGCATTGACCAGCATTTCAGTGGGGAGCTGGGGGATAGGACCTGGCATCTTTCCACATGTGTGGTCCTCTCTCTTCCTGACTGCATTACTTACTTTGTAACTGCAACAAAGTACCCGAGGGAGCAACTTTCAAGAGAAGAAAGCCTATTTTAACTCTGGAGAGGGCAAGAAGCACACTTAACTAAGCTATACCAGTCAAGGCGTGGTCTTGCCCATCATTGACCCATCATTGTCTAGCTCCATTCTCTCTTCAAAGGATAGTCTGGCAAGCTGTCAGATCTGTGTGAAATCTCTCTGCAGAGAGACAAGCTTTTTCTCTTTCTCACCAAACTTCCATCTGTTCTCTCAACATGAAGGTTTCTGGGGAAACTCTAATTGCTTGGGGTCCTTTGTTTCCAGAGTCTGATAGCCAAATGGAGGTGCCCAAGTGACCCAAGAAAGTTGAGAGCTACTGTGGAAGACACTTGATGGCAGGGTTGGACCTCTGCATGCATGCATGCACACATGTGCACCCACACACATGAAAACACGCACAGACCCATATACACATATTAAAAATAATACTATACTAAAAATTTGGTTCAAAGTCAGGAAGTCCTTTGAAATATCCTACTTGCTACAAGCAAATTTACCACAGGAACAAAAAAACAGTAAACATCCAGCCTACCCATACTCAAATAAACAGGAAAAGGAAACATTATTCATTGAATAATTTTTTATATAGCCTGTTTTCCATTTACTTTAATTATTTAAATAAATTCTCGTGTAAGAATTATGATTTCACGCGGTAGAGAAATAGTCTTACTTCATTTTTAATCAGTGCACATAGTAAATGTGTGCTATTTTATAGGATTCATGGCACGGTTTTAACTATTTATAGGGATTTATGATTACTCTAATTTTCCCCTATAACATGTTATTGGTATAATTTATGTGATGCAGAATGCCGGCTGGAAACCCCAGACATCAGTCCCCTTTCCCACAAGAGAGCCTGATTTGCTCCCCCATCATTTCCTTTTGGTGTAATTTCTTAGGTTACGCATAAATGAAAATTTGTCCTTTATTTTAAAGTCTGTTTCCTGGGCAGGTGAGATGTCACAGCAGATAAAGGCAATCGCTACCAAACCTGACAACCTGGGTTTAATACCCAGAGCCCACATGTTAGCAGGAAAGTTGTCCTGTGATCTCCATGCTCATGCACGCGCATACACACACACACACACACAAATAATAAATTTAAAATTTTATCACCGTTCAGTCACACTTGCTGAGTGGTACCTTCTAGTCTAGAAATCTCTGAATGGGGATGGGGATGGGGGCGTCTGTCTGTCTGCCTCCCTCTTTGCCCGAGAGCAGGCTACAGCATGCCTCTCTCACTGCCTTCCCTTAGGCACTCCTACCCCTCACCGTCTGAAGACCTTGTCATGGATGGCACTGGTGACATTGTCATCAACTTGCAAATGGTAGCTTGTTAATAAGTCTTGGCATGCTTTCTCTTGAGTGCTGTAGCTACTGGTCACTTAACAAGGTAACACTGATGTTGGGAAAGCTTTGTCAAACACGTACTATGTCTGTCCTTCTGGGACAGTGCAGGGCACTCGAGCTGTTGAGTTGGCATATGAGCCCTGTACATTCCACCTCTACCAACTCACCTCAGCCAAGCCTTAAAGGATGGGTAAGTTGTTCTCTACCCACTATGGTAACAATCACCAACTCATGCATTTGCTGGGGTCTCTTGGAAATGCTCCGCACATATGCCAATTCTGTAGCTAGATTAACTGTTCACTTAAATGAAAGAAATAAACCATTAAAGGTCACCCAGCAAGTAAGCAGCGGAATCCGATGGGAAATGGATTTTCTAGGTCCCCAAGCCCAGGCTGGCTTCCCCCACAACTTGTCCCCACCCACTGGGGCATCAGCCTCCTGTCCCCTCACTGGTCTCTTCTCTCTCCCCAGTGACACTCTGAATATTGTGGCATCAGATCACCGGCCATTCACCACCAAGCAGAAAGCCATGGGCAAGGAAGACTTCACCAAAATCCCACATGGCGTGAGCGGCGTGCAGGATCGGATGAGCGTGATCTGGGAGAGGGGTGTGGTAGGTGTCTGCAGCCTTGCCTCACTGAAGTTCCCAGCAGAGCCCACTCTTCAGGGGTGTGTTAGTCGGGGTTCTCTACAGGAACAGAGCTGATAGAATGAACATACACAAAGGGAAACTCTAAGAGTGGCTTACAGGCTGGCCCAACAACGTCTGTCCCCCAACAGAAAGTCCAAGAATCCAATAGTCATTCAGTTCATGAGGCTGGATGTCTCAACTGGTGTTAAGTATATGTTGGAATTCCAATGAAGGAGGCTCTAATATCAAGTGAAGGAATGCATCAACTGCAGTGCATATGAACTCACCAGTGAGCGTCAGGACAAGCCAGCAAAGAGAATAGGCTTTCCGTGTGTGTGTGTGTGTGTGTGTGTGTGTGTGTGTGTGTGTGTGTGTGTGTGTGTGCCCAGAGCTTCCCAGTGTGGCACACACCTTTAATCCCAGCACTCAGGAGGCAGAGGCAGATCTCTGTGAGTTCGCGGCCAGCCTGGTCTGCAGGGTGAGTTCCAGGACAGCCTCTGAGAGAGAGAGAGAGAGAGAGAGAGAGAGAGAGAGAGAGAGAGAGAGAGAGAGAGAGAGAGAGAGAGAGATTTAGGATGGACCTTCCAACCTCAAATGATGAGAGAGAGAGAGAGAGAGATTTAGGATGGACCTTCCAACTTCAAATGATCCAATCAAGAAAAGAAAAATCTCACAGGTGTGCCTAGCTGCCTGTTTTCTGTTTGTTTGTTTGGTTTTTCAAGACAGGGTTTTCTCTGTATTGCTTTTGAGGCTCTCCTGGAACTAGCTCATATGTTGGGGTGGGGCTCACCACATTCATCAGAAAGTGATAGGACCTGTTAGCAAAATGTGAAAAGTTCAAAAAAGCATAAGGAAAAAATCCGTACAATTCAGTACCTACACCTTTAGCATTTCAGTGTACTTCTAGTTCAGTGCATGTATTGGATTTTTTTCTTCGGTTTCTGAGGCAGGGTCTTGCTCTGTCAACGTGTTTGGCCTTGAACGTTTGGCGGTCTTCCTGCTTCATCCTCCCAAGTGCCAGGATTTGAGGTGTAAGCCACTGTGCCTGGCTACATACATTATTTTAGTAACTGGATTCATCTTTTTTTTCCTTCATATTTTAAGTTATTTTGAGTGTCTTCCTAGAGCTCTACAAATTTGTGGGTTTTTTTAAAACTGGTTTTTGGTACTTATGAACTAGCTCATCTTTTCATGCACGCTAGGCCGGAATCCTACCACTACCTACGTCCCTAGGCTCAAAGCACCTTTTTAAAATTGCTATGCAATACTCCCTCCAATGGAAATGCTATATTTAGTTCTTTCTTTGAAACTTTTGGCTGTTTCCAGTCTTCACACTTCAAATGCTGCTGTAGAGGAGTCCCTGTTTGTGAAGGTCACCATTTCTAATTACTTCCTTAAGACAGATTTCTGGAAGGGGATCTTTGGGTCAAGGGATATGAATATAAAGTCCTGGTTATATTTTATCAAATTGAATTTTGGAAGAGATAGGGGCTGGAATTTTCAATTGAACATCACCTGTTCTGCCCATGGATTGTTTAGCAGTTTTGGTCGTGGTCTGTCGTGGAGAACTCTCAACACTCAGTATGAGCTTCAAAGACTTGAGGTCCTAAACACTAAGCCATCTGCCCAGGGTGAGGCTGGGACTTAGATCAGGATGTGTCCCTTGAGGAGGGGCACACAGCTGTCTGTGGCAGAGCAGGCCGTTCTTCCAGAACACACAATATACTGTAGCCCCCCCTCCTCCCCCCCCCCCCCCCGTAGCTATAGCCTCAGGTCGTCCCAGTACACACACAAAAAAACATTAAGTGGAAAATTCTAAAAATAGTTCACAAGTTTGGGGGAGTTGTTTGTTTAAGACAGGGTTTCACACTGTACCCAAGGCTGGCCTGGAACACATTATATACCCCAGGCTGGCCTTTAACTTAAACAAGAGTCCTACTTTTGCTCACAAAAGTCCTCAGCTTCCCCAGAGCTAAAATTACAGGCATGAACTACCACATCCTATACTGCAATAATTTTTGCTAATATATAATGCTAAATTATTCTACTGTATTAGTTATTGTTAGCTTCCTGCTGTGCCTAACTTTTGAGTTAACTTGATTGTAGGTGTACATGTATGAACAGGGTTCAGTTTTCGGTAGCTTCGTGAATCCTGTGTAGGGTTGGAAGGGACATAAGCTTTTACACATGAGGGGAAGCCCCTTAGTCATCCCAAGTGAAGCTCATGTGCATTCGAGTGCATTTGCCCCAGGCAAGCAGCCTTTGGCACAAGTTACCAGGGTGGCTGGGTGAGGAATAAAGGAGCAAGCAGGCTCTCAAGCTCGGCCAGTTGACTCATACTGGGACAGTGCCTGTAGCACTGTTTGCCTGAGGGCTACAGTTGTGTGGTCCTCTGAACTAAAAGACCGAAGGCTGGGTAGTAAGGGGGGAGGCACACATCCAGATGGGGGCTGATTCGACACTTTCCCACATTCCAGGTTGGAGGGAAGATGGATGAGAACCGTTTTGTTGCTGTAACCAGTTCCAACGCAGCCAAGATTCTCAACCTGTATCCTCGCAAGGGCCGCATCATCCCTGGAGCCGACGCCGACGTGGTGGTGTGGGACCCGGAAGCCACAAAGTAAAGCTTTGCCACTAGTCTCTTGGGACTAGGAGGACTCGGGATTTTTAAGAACTTGTATTACAGAACTGCAAGGGCGAACTATCTTTACAGCATTTCGAGTGTAGAGGAGTATGGCAGTGACATGCTGATGATGGTCTGCCTCCCATGTTCACATGTACCCCCATTCCTTTGTATACCCATGTCCAATGTCTCTGTCACACCCTCTTCTAAGGGCACCAGTCAGATAGGAAAGGTACACACTTTTGTTTTGTTCTGTTTTTTTCTAGACAGGGTTTCTCTGTGTAACCTTGGAGTCTGTCCTGGAACTCACTCTGTAGACCAGGCTGACCTCAAACTCACAGAGATCCGCCTGCCTCTGCCTCCCGAGTGCTGGGATTAAAGGCGTGCGCCACCAACTCCCGGCCTGACCCACAGTTCTTATATACAAAAGTATATAACCTCCTTTTGCTTTAATTATCTAAAGGATCTGTGTCCAAATACGGTCCTATTCTGAGATGCTGGGGGTGAAGATTTCAACACAAGAATCATGAGGGGATGCAATTAAGCCCGTATCAGATGGCTCTGGGTACCATTCCTTCCCACCGGGCAGCATCTCTTTGCATCAAGCTGTCCTGTCTTTACCTGTGCTCAGATCTTTCCCCACCGTCATCTCCCACCAGGACCATCTCAGCCAGCACCCAGGTGCAGGGTGGAGACTTCAATCTGTATGAGAACATGCGCTGCCACGGCGTACCGCTGGTCACCATCAGCAGGGGACGTGTCGTGTATGAGAATGGCGTCTTCATGTGTGCAGAGGGCACTGGCAAGTTCTGTCCCCTGAGGTCTTTCCCAGACATTGTCTATAAGAAGCTGGTGCAGAGAGAGAAGGTAAGATGGGGCGGAAGGGAGATGTGTGGGATGAGGTCCGAGCCCCTGCTGGGGGCATCTTCACTTTCCTCCACTAACTCTCAGATACTGTGGTGCTGTACGCCGTTTCTGCATCAGTGTGACCCGAACACCTTAAGAGAGGAAAGGGTTAACTGGGCTCACAATTTCAGAAGCTTTAATGTGACCTGGTGCAGTCCATGATGATGGGAGTGTATACAGCAGTGGTTCTCAACCTGTGGGTCGCGACCCCCCTCAGAGGTCACATATCAGATATTTACATTATGACTCATTAACAGCAAAATGACAGTTATGAAGTAGCAATTAAGTAATTTTACGATTGGGGGGTCACCACAACATAAGGAACTGTATTGAAAGGTCGCAGCATCAGGCAGGGTGAGAACCACTGGTAGACTTACTGCACATGCAGCAGGCAGGGCAGAAGCCAGAAGCCAGAACCAGAGGCCAGCTAGCAGCCTTCAAAGGCCCACCCCAGTGACCTACTCCTGCCAGCCAAGTACCTTCTCCTGAAGACTTCAGGGCCCCCAGCCAGGGAATAAGCATTCAAATTGTGGGTGTGAGCCTGGGGTGGGGGACACATTTCAGATTCAAGCCCTAACACACTATTTCCTCTGGATGCTGTCTGTCACCATCTCTCCAGGGGAGCATGTGGCGGGGGGGGGCAAGAAGGATGGTGGAGTTGGAAAATGCTGGTTTCCACTTCCCATTTTGCATAAATCTTACCGTTGTTTTTGATGTGTGCATATATGTTGGTATGTGTATGTATGTATGTATGTATGCACATGTGAGTAAGCGTGCCCGTGGAGGCCAGAGGGTTCAGATGCCCCTGGAGCTAAAGTTATTGGTGGCTGTGAGTCACCTCACATGGGTACTGGGAATTTAACTCATGGCCTCTGCAAAGAGCAGTACACACTTTTAACCTCTGAGCCGTCTCTACAGTCTCAATAGATGAAATGTAAATGGACAAGCAGATAGGCAGTCTGGTGGGTATGTTCATGACCAGTGAGCTCCTCCTGATACACAGTTCATTGCTCAGTCCCTGTCCTCTCTTGCTAATGCCAAGGATGCCTTCAAAAGTCCCCCATACCTGTTGCTTCTCTCAATAAGACAGGACAGGCAGCATGCAACACTGCAATTGAGATTCCCTCCCAAAGGATACAGTGCTCACATCTGGGCTGCTGCTGCTGCTTCCTCAGCCACCTGCACAGACTCCAACACTGTCTCCCCATCACAGTAGCACTATTAATACATTAATATAGTGAGTCTCCATAACCGACGTAGGCCAGGACGGCTCTAAGTGACAGAGCTGAGGTTGGTTTGGTTTGTGCAAGTACACTCCTAACCCTTTAGTTAGTTAGTACACTCCTAACCCTTTAGTTAGTTAGTACACTCCTAACCCTTTAGTTAGTTAGTGCACTCCTAACCCTTTAGTTAGTTAATATACTCCTAACCCTTAGTTAGTTAGTGCACTCCTAACCCTTTAGTTAGTTAGTACACTCCTAACCCTTTAGTTAGTTAGTATACTCCTAACCCTTTAGTTAGTTAGTACACTCCTAACCCTTTAGTTAGTTAGTATACTCCTAACCCTTTAGTTAGTTAGTATACTCCTAACCCTTTAGTTAGTTAGTACACTCCTAACCCTTTAGTTAGTTAGTACACTCCTAACCCTTAGTTAGTCAGTACACTCCTAACCCTTTAGTTAGTTAGTGCACTCCTAACCCTTTAGTTAGTTAATATACTCCTAACCCTTTAGTTAGTTAGTGCACTCCTAACCCTTTAGTTAGTTAGTACACTCCTAACCCTTTAGTTAGTTAGTATACTCCTAACCCTTTAGTTAGTTAGTATACTCCTAACCCTTTAGTTAGTTAGTATACTCCTAACCCTTTAGTTAGTTAGTACACTCCTAACCCTTTAGTTAGTTAGTATACTCCTAACCCTTTAGTTAGTTAGTGCACTCCTAACCCTTTAGTTAGTTAGTGCACTCCTAACCCTTTAGTTAGTTAGTATACTCCTAACCCTTTAGTTAGTTAGTGCACTCCTAACCCTTTAGTTAGTTAGTGCACTCCTAACCCTTTAGTTAGTTAGTATACTCCTAACCCTTTAGTTAGTTAGTGCACTCCTAACCCTTTAGTTAGTTAGTATACTCCTAACCCTTTAGTTAGTTAGTGCACTCCTAACCCTTTAGTTAGTTAGTACACTCCTAACCCTTTAGTTAGTATCGCTTCCGGCAGTGCCCCATGTCCAAACCAACTGTGTCTAGTCGCTGCATTGTCGGGCCACAGAGAAAGGTCTGGCCTTGTCAGGGCACTGCTGCATGTCCCAGAGTGTTCACAGTGGAAGGGTTCCTCCACTGCGTCCCTGCCAAACTCCCTTGGGGGGGTTCCAGAGACGCAGGCACTTCCTGCACATGCGCACTTGTGCATGAGTGCACACACTCATCGTGTGTGGAAGCTAGAAAAGCATTCTGCAGCACTTGGACTACAGAAACAAGAAGCCTGCCTCCTGTGTGTCTTGATTTCTGTGCGGTCGTTGCAGGAGTCGGTGGAGGAGGCTGCAGCTGTGAGCTCCGGCTCTGACGTCCCTGTCTTTTCTTTTCACTAGACCGTAAAAGTGAGGGGAGTGGACCGCACTCCCTACCTAGGGGACGTCGCTGTTGTTGTCCACCCTGGGAAAAAGGAGATGGGAACACCACTGGCAGACACCCCCACACGGCCAGTCACCCGGCACGGGGGCATGCGGGATCTTCATGAGTCCAGTTTCAGCCTTTCTGGTAAGGGTGAGGGTGTGGCGGGAACTGGCAGGCAGAAGAGAGGCCTGGGCAGTGGGCTGCAGCCTTAGGTCCTCTGCAGGGCCATGAGGATGTGCAGCTGTGCTGTTAGACACACACAGGCTAATAGGCTGGGAGGGCCAGGAGAGCCACCAGCTGCTACAGGGGCCACGGGCCACAAGATGCTCTCCCTGGAGATATTTTCACCCCTTGAAACACTTTGAAGACATTGCACACAGGGTACCTCAGAGACGTCCAGGGCTCAGATGGGCAGCCCTCCCTGCTGTCATACCTCTTTGTCCCCTCCCCTGCCAGCCTCACTGTTACTCTCTTTACTCATCTCTGCCCTCAGGCCTCCACATGTCATCCTCACCTTCAGTTTTTAAACCAGGAATTGTATTATATGTTTCACTAACTTTAAGAAAAACGTTTCTTTCTTTTGACTCTGACTCCTGGCTCCTCACCCTATTTCCATGCCCTGGTTCTGGTCTATCTACAGAATACCTAGGTCTCTCAGTCGTGTTCCGTCCCATGTTTAATACCATGCCCTTCCAGCGACACCAAAAGCAAGCCTCTGTCCACCTAGGTCATGCTGTCTATGCAATCATTCCTCACATTACCTCAGATATCCTGAGATCCTTGGATGGGCCTCACAGGTGATGAGATATTCTCAATGGAGAGCAGACTGTAAGGAATGTTAGTCCTTCATGAAGCTTTTGTGGGATCCATCCCAGCACTTGAGAGGGCGGCAACCCAGCCTCCCTAGCCCCAGAACCAGCCAGAGAGAATCTATTCGTCAAGGGATGTCTCTGTCTGGGGAAGGAAAGCAAGATGAACAAGGGCATGAGTCCATTCAGAGACAGAAAAGATCAAACACAAGCCATCCTGGGATGAGAAGCCAAAGGGCAGTTAGGGCGCGCCAGCCGAGGGCCATCCCTAAGTGCCCAGCTGTGTGATAAGAGTAGCTTATGCCAGGGACCTGTGGTTCTCACTAGGGGTGCTGGTGGCCCGTGAGGAGGTAACTTCCAAAAACACCCTCCCAAAGGACTAGTCACTTCCACGGTGGGGCATGAATGCTGGCTGCTGTTTCTTGTGCACTGTCCAAACACCCTGAAGCTTTGCCAGTCCAGGATGTTACCTGTGTAAATCACAGCCTTACATCATCGGTAGGACCCTGGGGCTCTGGGACCTGACTAGCCAGTGGCCTCTTCTGCTCCAGTCCAAGAGCCATGACCGGACAGAGCAGGCCTCAAGATGCCTGTCATCTCTCTTCCAGCCCCAAATCTTAACCTGTTGGAGATGGGCAACACTGAATGATGCCCCCACTGTGATCTCTGGGACACCAGACCCTTCTTTCTGAGTCTCAGAATTCCAGAGGGCGGGGCCTCTGGGATACCAGTTTCCTGTTTTAGTATCTGGTCTGCTCACTGAGCTAATCCGTTGGTCTGACAGCACAAGTCTGTTGCTCGTGGGAGTGAGTGGGAAAACTCATAGAGTAGGCTCTGAGTCAGGAAAACCTGGGTGGACATTATATAATGCCCCTACACCCTAATTCTTTCATCTGGATAATGGAACAGAGTCATGAGAGTTAAATGCCTGAATACCTGGGGCTGGGTCAGTGACTCAGTCAGTAAAGCACTTGTCTTGCAAACACAAGGACCTGAGTTCAGTTCCAAGAACCCATGTTGAAAAAGCCAGGCATGGGGCCAGAGAGATAGCTCAGCAGTTAAGAGCATGCACTGCTTCTCATCAAGGACCTGTGTTCAGGTCCCAGATTTCCCAGCACTCACTGCTGTCCCGCAGCTCCGCGCCCCTCCTCGGGCACAAGCACAAACCAACACACAGCTCCAGGCCTGTCCTAATATAGGTGGACAGCATTCTCTTAAGTGAGGGGTGGGAGAGGTCCGAGCTTCAGTGGTGGCAGGGGGCCAGGCAGCATCAGCGTGGTTGACTATATACTGCCTGCTTCCTTCCTGCAGGTTCTCAGATCGATGACCATGTTCCAAAGCGGGCCTCAGCGCGGATCCTCGCGCCCCCTGGAGGCAGGTCGAGCGGTATTTGGTAAAGGCTCTAACCAGCGCCAAGTGAATATGCTCCACCGCCACCCGCCTGCACACCTTCCGGCCACAGCTGCAGGGGGTGGGAGAGGCTGGGCAGGGCAGCGCACTACAGGTGGGGGCTCCGGGAAGCGGAGAGCCCTCCCCTTGTCTGAACATGATTCACGGGGCTTTGACCCACCCCTAACAAGGCACTTTGAGCTGTCCTCCTGCTCTGCTCCTTCCTTCCTTCATGGGCCCTGGGGTTTCTCTGGGCCCCAGAGACCACACTATGCACAGCACCCAACGCATAGCGCCTGGCCCCGCCCCTCCTCTCACCACAACCTCCATGCTGGCTCTGGGAAGGCCCGGACTTGAGTGCCCTGCCCTGCTGCCCACCCAGACAGGTGTCCAGAGCACTTTAGCAGATGTGTTTTATAAGTAAGGACCTTCCCCCCTCACCCCTTAGGTCCCATGGTGACATTTCCCAAATCAGACAGGTGTCCCATCTCTCCCGACTCACCCTGGGGACACCCTGGATGTGGCTGTGATTGGGACACCCTGTGCCCTTGGCTAGCCTCTAACCACTCCCTACCCACACCCTCTGGGAGCTCCAGGCCCCAGAAGGGTAGCTGGGTGGGCATGGGGCTGGTGCCAGGCGCGTGTAAATGGTTTTGTTTTGCACGTTTGGTTTGCGCAGTGGTTTGGTTTGATTTGTTTGTGCACCCCGTGGAAAATAACGGTGCTTCGTGTCACTAGCATAGCATAGAATCAGGAGTAGATTCGGTTCTTAGGAGATGCTGCACTCACCACCAACCAGACAGTACAGGGCAGAGGTGGGGGCAGGCTGTCCCCATGGCCCCTTTCCCTCCAACCCAGGGTCCTTCTGCTACCAGAAGCCCTGGATCATGCCTCCCCGCCCCACATCCCTCCCTGTTACCACCCTGTCTTATTTTCCTACATCCAAATGGTCCTGGATTGAAACCTCCAGGCAGCAAGGTGGCCCCTCTCTCCTCTCTGCTCCTGGTCACTCCCAGCACTAACCCCACATCCATACCCTCATTCCCCTACACAGCTTCCTAAAACTTGCCCCTGCTGGACAAGGCCTAGCTACTCCTGTGTGACTAGCAAGAAGCCTCACACCTGCCGAAAAGGGGGAGTAGGGGAGGGTTGGCCGGCCAGCCACCGAGGGAGAGGCTTCAACACACAAGGCCTAGCTGTAGAATCCACGCCAGGGCACAAGTGCTACGGGATTCTGCGCTCAACACCAAGCTCTTGCTGACTACTGCAGGCCCGCCCTGTCTCACAAGCTCCTCGGAGGTTCTCACAGTCTGAGAATGCCCCAGCTGTCTGCCTTCGATAAGCCTCGTTTCCCCGCCTTGGGAAGTGCTCTCACTTTTGTTTGAGCTCCCCAAACTTGCCAGCGGTCCCAGAGATCTTGGCACTCATCCCTGCGCCCTCCCTGGTGCTGCGGGTGCATCTAAGCTCTTCCCGGCATCCGCTTGCACTCCTCCTAATGGTGGAATCTTACCACGCCCCCCCATCTTACAGGTTAAAACAATAAACCCGAGGCCCCAAAAGGTCAGGCCAGCAGGCCCCAGAAGTGTCCATGGCTGCCCTTATGACCTTGACTGTCTAACCCAGTTGTAGGGTGACATCAGGCCCAGGAGGAGTTTAACCAGATAGAATGCGTTCTCCCTGGGGATGCCTTCTGCTTTGCTTTGCACAAGTCGATTTTATCTTTATTGTGAGCAGACTGATGGAGACTCTTGGTTTGAGCCTGGACAAGACAAGTTTGGGAACTTGTGTGTGGTTTTAGTCCTCACTTCCTCCTCATTGTCCTCACTTAGGAGCTGAAATGATAACCCGGAGAACTGAGGTAGCCATGGGAACAGTAGGTAATGACCCTGGAAAAGCCTTCATGGGGAATGAAGACAGTGACACTGACCCCTGGTACAGTCTTAGTCCTCCTCCTCCTTCTCCTCCTCCTCCTCCTCTTCCTCCTCTTTTTGAGACAAAGTCTTGCCTATGTAGCCTGGCCTTGAGCTCACAGCAATCCTGCCTCAGTTTCCCAAGTACTGGAATTAGAGGCACAAGCTACCACACCTAGCTATACATCATCTTTGTCTATTTCTGCCCTTGCTGGGTCATGGGCCTTGGGCAGATGCCAAAGATCCGAGGGGTGGTAGGGCCAGTGAGGCAGGGCGCCCTGCTTGGGCCAGGAGAGCTTTCCCTGAGTGCCTCCCCCCGAGAAGTGCATGTCCCGGGATGGTAGGAGAGTGTGTTCAAGGAGCCGCTGTAGGCTTTCCACTTCCCCCACCTCAGGCCCCCGTACCCAAGTCCACCCTTCCATAGACTGTGCTCGCTCACCCAGGAGCTTCTGGATGCAAAGAGAAAGATGCTCAAGGAGCCAAACAAACCATCACCCCCCCCCCCCCAGTGTCCACTCCCTGCCCCGTGCAGAGCTCCAGCCAGCCCCATCACAGGTCCAGTGGCTGCTGGCTGGAAGGAAAAGGGTCTCTGGTTGCACCGAATGCAGCTCTCAACCTGGTCTTGTACTTGCTGAATAAATACTGTTGTTCTTGCCTTAGCTACTCTCTAGGTTTGTGGGGTTAACTCACCAGAAAATTGTGCTACTGTGTGTGCGTGCCTGTGTGTGTGTATGTGTGTGTGTGTGTGTGTAGTGCCAGCAGCCCACAGTAGGTCTCTTGTCAAGCCAATGCCGTGATGAGGGCATGTCTTATACTGACCCGGAAACCACAGAACCACGCGGAAAGCCAAACCCCTCCAGCTGCTGAGGTGGCAGGCACAGCCTGGGGTCAGAATGGATCTGCCAACAGCACCCCAGCACCAAGGGACTTCCTCACTCCTCTGTAAATGTCATGGTGCTAAGCTCGTGTCAATCCCAAGATGACACATGGTCCTGTGCTTTGGCCACCGTTTGAGGCAAAACCAAACAGCCCAACACGTTGTGTTCTGGTGCAGGTTTGTATTAAACTGTAGCTACTTCTCACTCGGCCTCTGTTGTGTTTATTCAAGAAGTAGCCTGGCAGAGACCCTCCTCTACAGTGTCTGTGTGGCACTTCCGTCGCTAGAACAGCCTTGATCCATCACTCTGATCCAGTGGTAGCTAACCGGGGGAGGTCCGGGCAAGGTCTAGAGATATAAAAATAAAAGGTTTAAAAATAAAGATTTGTTTTAAGGGCCACCCCTCTCCCAAGAGCCCAGAGTCTCTGATGGTGGAAAATGAAAACTTCAGCCAGATTTCCTGGGACAGTTGGCACGCTATCTGAAATAGGATCTAGACACCCCCCCAACCTTTGGCACTTGTTCTCCTGGCTACTATTCTGGAAGCCTACAACCCCATTCCATTCAGCAGAAGCTGACAGACGAAATCCACATAAAGACATTCAACAAAGTCATCCCAGGCTCCAGTGTGTCTTTGAAGGGCCTTTGCCTGCTCGAGAGATTTCTAGAAACCCACCTTTGCATCTGGACACTGGGCCCTCAAAGCCCTTGGATATTGGGAGGATCATCCGGTTACACACACTAAGAGGAGTGAGGTACAAGCTGTATTGCAGTGCTTGGGAGGGTGAGGCAGGCAGATCCTGAGTATGACGCCAGCCTGGGTGTCACATATAAGTAGACCCTGTCTCAAAGGGTGAGTATATTTTAGTACTGTGGGGTACCTGGCTCTGGTTTCTTAACCTCCAAAGTCACAACTCTAATGAGAGAATTCTAGATAGTGGAGAAAACCTGCACAGCACACTGGGAAGCAGAGTCGATTTTACCAAACTGTCCCAAACCTACAATAAATACATGGGTTGGGATAAGACACAACCTTTAGTCCCAGCACTCGGGAGGCAAAGGCAGGCAGAGCTACAGAGTAAGACAGTGTTTCAACCAACACAAAGGAAAGAAAAGGCACTGTCACATGTGATAGGTCGTTTGCATGGCATGAGGCATGTACAGACACATACTTAGGAAGACCCGGGACACCTTAAGATGTGCATAGTTGATAAAGGACCACAAGTCTGAACTTGAAAATTAGAATCAGAGTGGAGAATCAACTCCAGCCAGCAGCTATGCAGCCAGCAACCATGATTTCTTAACTTGGAGTTACAGGTTGACTCACATGCAGGAGTGAGTGCCATTAAGAAGAAACACTATGATACCAGGGAAGGGTAGACATTGTCATCCTAAATGACAAAAAGACTTATTTTCTTTCTTTTTTTGTTTTGTTTTTGAGACAGGATCTCACTATGTAGCCCAGGCAGGCCTGGGACCATGTAGACCAGGCTGGCCTTGAACCCACAGGGACTAAAGGCAGGCACCACTACACCTGGCAATAAGAAGCTTTCACACAACACTGTGAACTTAATGTGTTGCTAAAAGTTTGCTTTAAAAACACCTTGATCATCTCAGTGTCCACCTTTAGAGCGATATCCACATCCTGACATGGATGCATTGGAAATTGCATCCTTGAAATGCGAAATTTTTCACTTTTTTTATTAGAAGGAAGCCATCCTAAGTCCCTCTGAGAGGAAACTTCCCGTAAATCCAAGGTCACTGACCTGAAAACTTCGGCATGCTGCTCTGCGTGCTTTGGGGACACCATCTAGCCAGTGCCTCTGTGTTGCTGGAATCCTTCATTGTACACCGGCCTGAGTTTGGCAGGATTGATGACCCTGGAGTTCCTCCCTTTTGATCAGCCCCCATGCCACACTTCAAGGCACTTGAGCGGTTAACTTCACTAACAGACTTCTCAAGAAAGGCTTTGACCCCTCATTCCTGAGGGAACTGAGCCACTGGAAACAACTCCCAAGAGGACTGGATGTGTTTTGAGTCCCAAGGACAAGACGCTTCAGTGGTAACGCCTTACAGACTTGCTCCTGTGGCAGTGGTCATCTGAAAGAATTCCTAGTGGCCTGGAAGAGGAACATGTGGCCCATCGTGGGTGTCTTAGGAAGAGTTGCTATGTGGGGGCTGCTGACATTTATTGAGATGTTCAACAGGTCTCCGTGAGTAAATCATCTGTGATGTGGCCCAATAGTGTCTTTCCTTTGTAATTCCTCCTTGATGCCCGTGCAGTGACTGTGAAACTCTCCGAAAATGGTACCAGAGGCAAAAGAAGAGGAGGAGGAGGAGGAGGAGGAGGAGGAGGAGGAGGAAGAAGAAGAAGAAGAAGAAGAAGAAGAAGAAGAAGAAGAAGAAGAAGAAGAAGAAGCAGCAAAAGAAGAGGAGGAGGAGGAGGAAGAAGAAGAAGAAGAAGAAGAAGAAGAAGAAGAAGAAGAAGAAGAAGAAGAAGAAGAAGAAGAAGAAGAAGAAGAAGAAGAAGAAGAAGAAGAAGAAGGCTGTCTTCCATCTGTAATTCTGTTCAGACACAGACCGTCCAGCTGGCACCATGGTCATGAGAACTGGTACCCCAGTTCCATTCACCAAGCAAAGCCATACTTTGGAGATCTCCTGGCTCACCTGCTATGTGCAGAATGGAGGGCTCCCTTCTAGACCCTGGGACTGAAGTTGCTTATCCAGACCAGTGGCTCTCAGCCAGGGGCAGTTTTGTCCTCCAGGAGGTAAGAGTCGGGAATATTTGGACATCCTTTTGGCTGCCACAACTTAAGAGACAAGGGCTACTGGAATCTGTGGACACTGCTCCAGAACCCTGCTGAGCATCGTACTCAGGGCAGCCACCACAATAAGGAATTGTCCAACCCGAAATGTCAATAGCACTGAGATGGAGAAACTCTGGTCTAGCTTAAAGATGAAATGAGATCCTTACTTCAAAATATTGTGTGAGGAAATTTAAGAAGAAGGAGAGGGAGTCAGAGTTAAGTTATGATGCAACTCTGTATGGCAAGACATTGTGGACAAAAAAAAAAAAAACACCAAACAAACAAAGCATCTTGAACAGAGCTGGGCCACAGCATCCCAGTAGCAATCAGAAGTGGGACCCCAAGGAGTCTTAACCATGTTCTTTCCCATGGCTCTACTTGTTAATCCTCTGCCACCAAGATCAGGTTACACAAGGTCCTGCTTGACCACCATGCAGAGCTACACGTGCAGATCGGGGGGGGGGAGGGATTCTAAATGCAGAGAGGTGACACCGCAAGCGGCAGCTTGATGGCTGTCACATCCCAATTCCTTAACCATCACATGTACAGACTTTCTTTCACACCTGAGTGTAACCCTTCTGTAATCAAGGATGCTTGGGAGGGGAAGTGGGCATTATGGCTAGAGCAAAATTCAAAGAGTGTGTGGAAGAGAGCACACTGTGCATCGTGTATCCAGTAGAATCTTGCCTGTTTCCTCGACGTCTTTTTCTCGAATGTTTGGATATAAGGCACACAGACAACTTCCAAGATCTAAGCATCCGGCTTGATCAGTCTGGATAAAGGAATGTGCAGGTGGAGACAGAGCATTGCCAGGGCCTGAGACGCCTGCTATGTGAGCCATTCCTGTCATATCAGTGTCATTGCTGCCCCCCTGCCACACACCCCCACCCACCCTCCCCACCCCACCCCACCCCACCCCCGCCCATGGATAACTTCTTCCCTGGCAAATGAGTGTTGTCTAGCTTTGAACGCTGATTAATGGAGTCATATAATGCATACTCTTTGTCCTGGTTCTGTTTCTCCACGTTGCATTTTTAAGATGTGAAGGACACATTATGTGCGATTGTCTGAGATGGAGGGGCTGACTTTGTTAGCAATGTGTACACACACAGGAACTCACATACAGGGTGAGAGCATATGTACATGTGAAGCATGTATGCAGAGTGCTTTCCTGCTGGTGAAGAATGAGACTTGTGCAACTCAAAAGTGAAATTAAGAAAGCAATTCCAGTTATAGTAGCATCAAAAAGAATAACGTGAGGGCCGGAGAGCTGACTCAGCGGTATTTACTTCTCTTGAGAGGATCCAGATTAGGGTCCCAGAACCCACGTGGCAGCTTGAAACCAGCTGTAACTGCAGTCAGAGGGGATCCCACACCCTTCTTCTAACTGCCTGAGGCTCTCACACATACATGCACATACATACACTCAGACATACAGACATACACATAAAGGAAATGTTTTGGGGGGTTGTTTTTTGTTTTTGCTTTGGTTTTCCAAGATAGAGTCTCTCTGTGTAACAGCCCTAGCTGTCCTAGAACTTGTTCTGTAGACCAGGCTGGCCTCGAACTCACAGAGGTCTGCCTGCCTCTGCCTCCCAAGTGCTGGGATTACACACAAGCACCACCACCGCCCGGCAAAGTAAACTTTTTAAGTTAAAAAGAACAGAGTGTTTAACAATAAATTTAGTAAGCCAATTTAATAATTGTACTCTGGAAACCATAAAACTTTAAAATGTTTTCAAGCTCTAAATAAATGAAAGTAATTCTGTGGTCAGGAGCCAGAGGATTCCACATCATTAAGGTGGTCATAGTCTAAAAGTGGATCCCCAGATTCTACATAACACCTGCCAGAATCCCAGCTATAAACGTGGATATCTCGTTTTAAAATTCAGTTGAAACTGCAAAGGACTTGGAAGAGTAGGGTAAGGAAAATCCCGAAGGAGCTGGTGAACTCGTCATTAGCCCACTCATGAAGACGGAGCCCCCAGTCACCTAATTTCAGAGGTCTTCCCTCTTAAATATTCCTCCAATCAACCCTGCCACACTGAGGACCAAGCTTCCAACACAACAGCCTTGGGGAGGTACATTAAACCACAGCAAGCACATACCCAACATGGCAGGAGTGACGATATTCTCCAGACACACACGATCCCCTTCAGCTGTCAGACTACTGAGACAACGGGATCTAAGGAACTGACATTTCCCTCAGGAGTCTCATTCTGGGGGAGGAAAAGCCTGAGACCTTGGCATCAGCCAGGGGGGACTTGTCTCCTGGAAAGAGACTGCACAGTGTGCTGATGATGCAGGACAGACTGACAGCCAGCAGCAGGTGGTCACTATGGGCGGGACCACCTCTTGACCAGAAATGCCCAGCTATGGATTCCTCTTGCCCTCATAT